TACCCAGCAATGATGCCAACTGGCATTGCTGCCACTCAGCAGCACACACTGCCGACGCAACCCACTACGATCCCCGTTGAGCAGACACACAGCTTCCCCATGATGCCATGTGGACACACTGCTCCTATACCACAGCATCCGATGGTATACACACAACTCAGCACACCACAGCCCCAGATGCCACAACACCCTCCACCCCAGCAATTCATGTCGCAACATCCCCCCACTTTCTTGAACCCTGGTCCTTTGCCTACCCATACAACAGTTTTTCCCACGAGCCCATCACCTCTGACACCGCATCACTCCCAGCCTGCCACATACAACATTCCTTTCACACCACCTGCTCCACAACCCCAACCTGCACCTTGCAGCATCCCCTCCACACAACCCGCTCAACAATCCCATATACCGCCGCCAACGACCCTCCAACAAGCTTCACAATCTCACCCCACCAATGTTACCACTACCGATGCTGCACACATTGCCCCACAGACACCGGCAATCACCCCCCAACCCCAGCCAATAAGCACAGCCCACACACCCTCTGTCAGCACATTACCACCCACACAACCACCACCCGCTACGGGATCGGGAGACACTGACCCGCTCGCAGCACGTGCTTCTTCCCACCATCCTCCGTTGCCACGCAGGAGACGGCACTCACCCACACGCAGCAGAACCCGCACCGTGAGCACTAGACGCCGACGACGCGCACGCAGCAGAGCACGACCTGCCAGCAGCGGGAGACAGCACCGCCGACGCAGACACCACCGATCACGCGACACCCGCAGAAGTCGTTCTCGCAGGGACACCAGGCGATCTTCGTCGACACCTCCGCGGACCTCGGTTGTGCTCCGCAGCTATTCTACAGTGCGTGATGTTGATACCAACAAGTGGCATTACAGAGCCACACAGCTACGTCAGAGGCCACCCACCCCACCCAAGGTCCCACAAAGGACATTGGCATCGCAGGTTCAACGAATCGCCCTCCGCATCAAGGGCAGCCAAGCAGCACAACAGCAGCCCCCAGCCGGACAGGGCACCTCCTCCCGCCAACAGGCTCAGCACAATCCCTCCAGCTCCGTTCGGACACCTGCCCCGACCTACGATGCATCAACAGCCGTTGCCCCATCGGGTCAGCCAACCCTCGAACAACTGGGCAACCAGAGCAGACCACCACAGATTGATGTGGCGCCATTTTCTGAGCTTTACGAACATGAGAAGCCGACCCCTCACGCCGTCGACATGGAAGAAGCACACAACCTCGCCAAAACTTTGGGCGAGATAGCTGCTGACAGCGATTTCAGGCAGGAGACTTTAGCCGAATTTGCACATGCAGTGCTACAATCAGGCACGCGATCAGCGTGCAACGAACTTGGGGCAGTGCTGACGCCAATATCGGACGGCGTGCATACTATGTTATTCATTCCTTGGGCTGGAGAGCAGAGCAGAGCGTTCGGCACCCGTGCCACTGACCCACCAGGAGAGACATACATCTACACCGCCGGACACGGCACGAGCATTGCAAGTGCCGCGCGCATTATGCTCGAGGACTTGGTCCGCCCAAGTTCAGTCAGACACTGCTTCGACGACAAGTCCTACCCACCCATTCCCTCTTGCGTCATATACGGGAATGCGACCCCAGGAGATGTATCGGAAAGCACGGTACATATAGTAACCGATCAATGTACACGGCGGCCGAAGGGCCAACAGGGAGTGATCGTCATCGGGACGATACGGACTAAGTATCAGCATTACAAGATGACGTATCGGGACATGTATAGAGAGGCCTTCATCGTGGGGCGAAAGGGTGTTGTGCGGACCCCAGAGAAGTGGGGATTCCACTCGGGGCATTTCAGCATCGTTGGATTCGGCCTTATTCAGTGATGTTCTGTATTACTTTCTTTCTTCTTCCGTTTCTACCTTTCACTCTCGAGTATCCTTCCTCTTCCAGGCCTGAATCCCGTTGCACATAGCTGTATGCAATCAAGCATTTGCTCCGACCCCGCTTTTGAGCCAAAGAAGAGACGATGCAGCTGCATGCTGGATGCATTGCACAAGTAGATGCTGACACTCAAGCCAACTATGTTGTCCAAGCACGTGCTATTTGCAGCTTTTGCAGTCACAGGCAATTGTAGTGCCCCATTTTGCAACCATGTACAAGCCGACACAGCCTCAGTGGCATACAACAATGCCAACAGGCATCATCGGTACAGCCATCAGTGCGGTGCAGCGACAAACAGCCTCAACCAGCAGCACCCCAATGCACCCGATTTCCCCACCACCAGGGATCCACAACATCCCACCCCACACCCCACCCATGACCCCAACTACGTGGGGTTCAGCTCACCCTTACAGCCACAACACCACTTTTCCCCCTTTCCCTCCACCCCCTCCCCCACCCCAGCAGTTTACCGTCCCAGCTTCACCCACCACACTGCCAACACCCACACCTGCCACTCCCCAACACACATTTGTGAGTCCATCTCCGATGACGACTCAAAACCCCAGCACTTCTTCACATACATTGCCTCAGGCCACCGTCACACCCCAACAACAACAACACACCAATCTCACGCCTGCAAATCCCCAGATACCAAACGACTTCGTTGAAACCCGAGCATTGGGACAACAGACAGCTTTACGGCCTCAACCTACCCAAACACATTCAATCTACACCACATTCAGTGCACAACCGCACGGCAGGCATGCCGATCGCAACAGCACCATTGGTCGCATTTCTAAGACACAATTGGTCATCATACTGGCTACGTTACGCCGCACACGGCTTCGACATCCATCTCACATGCAGCAAACATATCAGCGAAGCCGTCTTTACCACTGAACTTATGGGTCAACTCCGAGCACGGAGAATTGATCTGGACAAAGCAGCCACCGCATTCTGCTGGCAAGAGAAGCTCACACTCGCAAAACGGCCAGCAATGTCACACCTCATCAAGGAATTGGTGTTATACCTGCAAGAGCTGCAGGACCAGTACAATGACGGCAACAAAAAGGACAAGCAAGATGCCAAGTCAGACACAGACAACACACAACCGCAACCCACCGAATCTCCAACACCACCACAATCCAGCAAATCACAACCTCATCTACCACTTCAATCTTCGCAGCCGACAGAAGCAGACACTCTGGCTGCACACCGTATCAGTGACCTGGAAGCACGACTTTCAACAGCACTGGAGACAATCGAAGCTCTCCGTGCTCCGGATGCAAACACTGAGGCACCCAGCACACCAGCACCAAAGAAACCAAAACGAGCTACAGCACCTAGCACTCCTATCAACACGCCCTCTCCACCACCTGACTCAATTTCCACAATTGAGATTTCCCCCACCACAACCACTCGTGGACAGAAACGAGCTACCATAGATGACGCTACACACAACGACACCAGACTTACCACTGGTAGCCTCTCCCTTTCCACAACAACAGTTGCAGAACAAGATACCAACGCGTTACATGCTTCCCCAGCATCGTCATCCACCACAGGTATGCATTTTCCGGGACGATCCCTTCTGGGCGCCAAGCGACAGAAGCAGTCAACTCTCACACCAACGAAGGCGGCACCCCTCGATCCCAAGATGGATCCCCAGCGCATCTTTCAGCAGCCTACAAAAGCCAGTGTTTGGTTTCAGGATCATTTCACTGGCGTTCACTCTGAATCCGGCATCACCAGATGGTTTGGTGCCATCAAAGGCATCAGCGACAAACAAAAAACACAGGTAAAAAAGTACCTTGACATTGTTGCTTCGGAATTTCCTTCACTCAGCAACTCACAAGAACAGACACTGCAGACCGCTGCAGTCGCCTGGGGTGTCCCGCCCAAAGCCATCGACAAATTTGGCTCCCCAGCATTGATCAAACTTGTCGCTATCATCAGTCAGATGACAGAGTGACTCAGGCAGTACTTGATTCAACACCGGCAGACACTGGATCACACAACAATTTTCCGACAAAAGCAATTCAAGAACATCATACGCATTCTGGATCGAGGCAGATCCATCTTACAATTTGTCGCACCATTGGCAGAACCAGTCTCTACACAATTCCACCAAATCATACTTTGGCTTCAAGGCTTGACCTTGTTAC